CATGAATGGATGACATCACCAATCACTTTCCTCTGTGGCTCCACGGAGACCAATCAAGGGAGTGCTGGGCCTCACAGTAGAGGCTGCGGGGTACCAGGAGAAGCTTCTCAGTGATTGCACTCGCACTCCTACTCCCACCTCTCTTTATTTTGAGACTTGTATAATCTCTTGACTTCTACTTTCTACTGACTTACGGTGCTGGCTGTGTATTAAATAAGGAAAAGTTGTCTGACTCTTGCAGCCCAGCAGCAAGAACGTTAATAATTCTGGGAGCCTCCCTTGGCATTAGGACTGTGCCACATGTTTTGCAATCTTGACTTTGGCCTCTGAAAGCAAACACTCTCACTGGGCTTCGCTGATCCATAGCCCTGGAATCTGTAGCACTTATGAAGTGCTGCTCCCGTTGGTGCTATGTACGGTGGTGAGGAATTCAGATTCCAGAACTGGCCTCTAAGCCCAGTGCCACCAGAGGTTGTGGTGGAATCTTGGGCTGTGTGAACACTAAGTTCTTTCAACACAAAAAATACCAGAGATCTGCTGTCTCCTTTTCTATGGTTTAATGAATACCAGCCTTGTCTTCTTGACTGAGTTATAGCTTTGAGGACAGGGCTCAGTACTCTTCTTAGAGCTTTTAGCACAGGGCTGACCCTACAAAAGATGCAGAGTGATACTTTGTAAGGGTGATTTGGGGGGTACTGTTTTATCCTTTTCCCGATCTATATAATAGGGAACAGGTGGTATCTTTTCCAGTGCTCCATACAGTATAATTGAGTATCTTGGTTACCTCTGTATCCCAAACTATTTTTCTTTTCTGTTCTTAATTTTAGAATATGTTGATTATATTGTCTTTGTCACTATGGGAATACACATGTTGGTTTGGTAACTTCTGAGATTTTCAAATTAAAAGTCATTTCTTTCCAAGGCAGGGTGATGAGTTTCGGAAGCACAGTTCTATCACACAACTCCAGGAGGCACCACTCACATATCTTTTGACAATATCATTGGCTCTTACCTTTCAGGCTATGAGGTTTTACCTGTGGTACTCCTGAAGGCACAAAAGATGGGGTAGGTGACTCTTCAAGATCTCCAGGCTCTGTGGCTCTAGAACATTCTGTTCACAATTTTTAAAAATAAGATGCTGCCATGCTTATAACATGTTACTTGTTTCCCACTGGACCCCAAATTCTCTGTCACTAACTGAAGTATAATGTCACATACATCAGGCTGACTAATATTTTGATGCGAGTTGAGGGAAAGGAAGAAAGGTTATAGGCAACGATTCTTTTTTTTTTTTTTTTGAGTTGGAGTCTCACTCTGTTACCCAGACCAGAGTGCAGGGGCCACTCCCAGCCACTACAGTCTTGACCTGCTGGGCTCCGGTGATCCTTCCACCTCAGCCTTCCGAGTAGCTGGAATTACAGGCGTGCACCACCACGCCCGGCTGATTTTTTGATTTATTGTAGAGATGAGGTCTCGCTGCCCAGGTGGGTCTCGAACCCGCGGGCTCAGGCAATCCACTCACCTCAGCCTCCCAAAGTGTGGGATTACAGGCTGAGCCACCGAGCCCGGCTGGCAACGATTCTTAATATAGGATAGTTCTGAAGAGTGTGGTGGTCCTTTCCCATCCTTCCTCAGCAGAGAGTGGTAAAGTGTCAATGCCAACTGGCTCACACCAAAGCATCTCAGCCCTTAGTCTTATCACCACCAGCTGGGTTTGCCATATTCCTACTGAAGCAATATGAAGAGTTCAATTTAATAGGCCTAAGAAATTCACCCACCATAACAAATCTTTCTTATTGGCCAGTCCCTAACACTTGTAATGAACTAGAATTTTTTGTGTCTGTGTGTATGTCAGATAAGTCTTCCTTTAAAGAGTTAAAATAGGATTAAATCTAATTTATTAGTAAAAGAAATCAGGATAATGGTTTCCTTTGGGGGATGTTATTGATCTCCAGGGGGACCAGGAAGTCTCTAGGCTGCTGGTGATGCTCTATTTCTGCATCTAGATGTTCCATTTATAAAAAATTTATGAGCATTTGCAGGTATGATTTGCATGTCTCTCTGTTTGTAATGCTCCCAAATAAAGTCTATTTAAAACAATGTTTAGAAGATCGCCTTGGGAAGCATTTAGAAATATTTATAACTTAGTTAAAACAAGTAGGTGAGTTTATTTCCAAAAGAGAGTTAGCAGCATACAGACACTCTTAGTTATTGGGAAGCAGAATAGATGACAGAGGAGACGAAGGGGCACATTTGTCTTCTTTGAGCTTTAGCTTGGGGCTCATTCTGCCCAGGTTGTTCTGAAAACCTAGTATAAGTCCTCACTACATTGGACACTTTTTCTTCAGTTCCATTCCCACTCTCTTTTTTTTTTTTTTAATGTAAGGGAAGTAAACAGGTTTCAGGGAACACTGAAGTGGAGAGTGCTTTCTTTGGTTCAAGTCCAGAACTGGTAACAAGAGAAGGTGATTCTCTTGGGCAGTTAACTTCAGGGAGAGTGTGAGGCTGACCCTTCCTTTGGAAATTATTTCTTCCAGCATGACCTGGCTCCGGGTACACCAGAAGAGACCAATAAACCAGGCCACTTGCCTAACAGATTACAGCTCTGTGTTTATGTGTTGAGAGAGAGAAGAGGTGCAGAGCCCAACTGGGAACTCCCCCACCTCACTTTCCCCACCAACCAGCCCATGCCCCTTTATCCCCTCTCCTGCCGGTTCCCTTCTCCAAGATACACACATGGGGTTCTGGGGCCAGCTGTTCTACTTGTGTGCAAGCAGATCTCCTGCTTCTCTTGCTGAGGAACCACTAGCTTCTCCTAGGGCTCTGTCCAGCTTCTGAGAAATATTGAGGCAGAATAGGTGGTTTCCATGTGCCTGCTGGCAAGGCGTGTTGTGTGGAGGAATGTAAATAGAGTAAGCCCTTAGGAAAACACTGGTTTGGCTCTTAGGCATTCTCACTCATGTTGCCCATAAAATGATTATTATGCTCTCAAGTGGAGTTCTGTCTGTTTCTTCTATGCTACTTAGCTCCAGCTTTGAACCTGAAGAAATACCAATAAATCTTTCTTCTTGGTGGTATCTTTTTTTTTTCCTTCGTGGACAACAGAATTGAGTTGACAGCAGTGGCACAGATGGTCTGCAGGTTCAGCCATCCCTGAGGACTCCTGGACTTCTGCTTTATTTCCATGGAACAAATACATTTCATTAGCAAGAGGCTCACCTTCTCCTCTGGAACCTGGTCTCTGACTCAGAGTAAAACTGGAACCAAATCTCAGCACTGTACAAGTCTGTTTCTACCTATTTTATTGCCTTGTTGGTTCTTTGTGTTCCAGAGTGTTTCCTGAGAAAGAGCCACGCACATACACAAAATGACTTGTCTTCCAGGAAATATCCACATAAAAGCAAATTATGTCAGATATAGCCACTACTGGAATTGGTAGTTAAAGTATTGCATGGTGCTTTTCTGAACTTCATCTCATTCAATTCTCCTAAGAACCTCATGAGGGACTAGCATTACTCACTTTTACAGTTGAGGACATTGTGGTTCAAAAATTTTGTGTGACCCATTCACAATCACATAGCTATACTTAGGGCTCCCAATAAAGTGTTCTTTTTTATTGTCCCCATTATTAAAGATGTTTTAGGGTAGGCAGTCAAAATGGAAAGTCAATTGTGAGATTTAGCTAAGATCTGGTTATATTACTTGCTATAATGAAGCAAACATTTTGGAAAGACATCCAAGTCTAGGTTTTCATTCTTTGATGGTCTAGTCTTTAGACTCATTTGCAGAGCAGAGCAGCCCTGGTTACTGAGGAATGGTGAGGGAGCTTAAACTTTGAAGCCTTTTGCAGTTTCCCCAAGCCTTCAGTGTTTCCAAGTTTAGTTTTCCAAATTGAACATTTGTTGAACTGCTATATTGACTTTGGAGACCCTAATACAATAAAATGACATAAAAGCAGAGATCTGGAAAGCCTAATGATAGGTGAGGTTAAGAGCCAGGCCCTTTTCTAAGAGCATCGCATATATTAACTCATTTAGTCTTCATAGCAACCCTTGACTATCCTATTTTTCAGCTGAGAGTTTCAAAACTGAGCAAGTCATTTGCCCACAGTTGCAGAGCTAATAAGTGGAGGAGCCAGTTAATTTGAACCCAGTTTAATTCCAGAGTGTGAGCTCCTGATCATTTCAATGTGATGTCCCAAGCAGTCTGTCTGGGTTAAGTTTTTTGTTTCCTAGATATAGCATTGAGATTCTGAGAATTAAATCCACTCTAAGAGATCACCGGCAAAGAAGTTCCCTAAGCATCTAAAATGAGCACTAAGAAAATTTCCTAAAGGGACAAGAGAGTTGTAGATTATATCACTTTTAGACCTGACCGCTAAAAGGAGTTACTCTGACCGGTGACCACCAGTAATCACTGATTCTCATATCTGTGAAATGACATTGTCTACTTTTCCCTAGAAACTGACAGATTGCTTTGCACTGTAATCCCCCGAACTCAGTCTCAGGTCAAAGACTTAGCGTTATGTTTCTTTGTTTTCTTGAGTGAAGAATGACTTTAAACACGTTCAGTCAAACAGCTGTACATGTTCCACATGTTGTCTGTGGAATGTGGGGCATAGGTACTGACTCCATAACAGGACAACTGAGAAGCACTGGCTCCTAATTTGAGATCTGTCGCTACCCAGCAATAGGCTTTAGGGGGATCCACAAACCTGAAAACTTGTAGGCTACATTTTGGATACATGTATATATGCAAACCGTTTTCTTTAGAGTCACAAAGTGATCCATGACCCTCAAACAGTTAATAACCATGACTATACAGATATTTTATTAAATTATTTGTGTGTAGCTCTTCTGTGAGATCAAATGACAGACTATGAAAGTACTGGGTTTAAGGATTTCAGAGATCATCATGATCTATAGAATTTTTTACTTTACTAATTTTTTTCCATAGATCGAGTTGATTCAAGTGAAGTTTCTTATTGAATGTATTTACAGACTGGATTTTTCCATCTTCCCCATGGAGACTTTTTCATTGAGCCCGTGAAGAAGCATCCGCTGGCTGAGGGAGGGTACCACCCACACATCGTTTACAGGAGACAGAGGTGGAGAGTTCCAGAGATGGAGGAGCCAACCTGCGGATTAAAGGGTATTGTGACTCAAATGTCCTCACAGCTTCAGGAGGTTTTTTTGTTCTTTTAATTGTTTTACTAAAACATGATCTATTCTTATTCAAGTCTGTTACCTCTGTATTCTGTTTCCAGCAAGTATGCACCCTTGTGTAAATTATTTCACTTGTCTGTACTCAAGTGTCTTCATATTCTTAATGGGAAGGAGGGAAAAAGCATCTTTGCCACATTAGTTGATGATACTCATAAGATGTTCATAATAGTGAAGTGTTCTTTTTTTAAACTCTTCTGACCATCCTAGAAGAAAATATAGACATCATGATTTTCAATATTAGCAGTGTTATAATACATTAGTGTGGAATATTAACAGACAGCTCATCACATCTGCATAAGGGAGGAAGATTTACATGTTGATGATGCTGATAATAATGTGTGAAGAGAAACTGAAAAAAATATCAATGCACTGTCAGATAATACATTTTCAGGAAAGCTTCTTTTGGCTGCATGGTGTTGTTTTTATAATTTGATGAACTGCTTCTCTTGGCCTTGTCATAAACAGTTGTAGGACTTTTTCAGAAAGAAACTGACCCAAGTTATTTCTTTGCAACTCCTATATTTTAAAGAATGTGTAGGAGACTATGTAGAAAGGACCTTTGGAAATTGGGACATTTTCTTTTTCTTAATTTTCACTTTAGAGTTGTGCGGTACAAGTGAGGATTGATTACATAAGTAGGTTGCATGAAGGAGTAGTTTGGGCTTCTAGCTGATCCTTTCTCCCCCAGTTGTGGACCAGGTACCCAATGTGAAACTATGTGCCCTCCTCCCTCCTATCTCCCTTCCTCCCCTATCAGTGACCAGGGTCTGCCTGTCCCACTCTTGTGCCCTGTGACCAGTGATGAGGGTTGCTTATAAGCAAGAACGTGCAGTATTCAGTTCTTTGTTTCTGTGATAGTTCACATAGTATAATGGGACATTAGTTTATATATTGTATAGTTTCTCCTTTCTTCAGAGGAAAAAAAATGCCTGAGGGACCATTAACAAGAAGTGTCTATAATATTACTTATGTGTCTTACAAATTTGGAAACCCTGGACCTCAAAGGGAAAATGGATGATGAGGGAGCTAGGGAAGGTGGATCCTGATAAGAGTTGGGGGGACTTGGAACTTGAACTTTGCAAATGGGAGAATAAAAGGGCAAGTGAGCAAGTAACTTCTCTGTAGACTTCACTCGGGTCCCAGGCTAGATGACAAATTTCCTGGGAGTTTCTTCTACAATCTTAGCAGATATGTAAGCAATAATAAACGTTTGAGTCTAAAATGTATTCTGTACACAAAAAAAGACAGTTGCTTTAAGTTCTTAACTCTAGCAAGCTATTGTAACTTTTTCTAAATTAGATAACTTAGTGTCTTCTAACAAGTACCAAAAGGGATGAGATACATCATCTGACTGATTTGATAAATGAAGATACCAATACAGATATTAGTCTCAATGTGAATTTGTAGGACTTTCTGTTTGTCACTGATCCAATCACCTGAATATTTGTGATTTGAAGTCTTTTAGATCACTAGGTGTTCAATATGACAGAGAGAGTTACTAGGGCAGTGAGTGAATTTGGCTGGACATTTGCTCCTGCAGGCATCATTGCTCTGTGAAACTAATTAGACTATTTCTCATTCCATTAAATTGAGAATTTTCAAAAGCATCAAGGTAGTTAGTGTCAGAATACAGCCAAGTTCACAAGTCAAAGTTCTATTCTACCTCAAGCTTTATATTGCCTCATGTTTATTCTTTAAGTTTTCCTTGAATATAAATCTTGTTTTGTTAGCCATTCTTACAAGACTCATTAGAATAGGAAACACCCTACCCCAATTGCATGCAGCAGAGATGTTAGGTGCAAAGTAGGAATTCGGTAAATCATGGAAGCGAAACTAACAAAGAGTATTTTACAGGCAAGAAGGTGAAACTAAAGTGTGCACTGGTAACTAATCTAATCTATATGACACCGATGGAAAGAAAAAAAGAAATGTGTCTTTTCTAGATATTGAGGAAGCATCAGTTGTTTGTGTCTCTCTCTTTTCCTAAGACAATAAGTTTGATGCAATGTTTAAACAGTAGCTAGCGATTTAAGAGTAGCTAATGTGCGTGTGAAATTCTTATACTATACATGACATTTAGAATTTTTAAATCTTGCTATAGTGAACTGCACTTGGTCTTGTTGAACCAGGTAATTGCAGTGTTCTTTTACCATGTTACCCTGCAGAGTTGATGGGATTATTTGACAGTAGTGGTGTTATTAGCCAACATTAAACTATGCTGCATGCTTAGGTCAGTTGATGTTGCCAGGCTGAATTACTGTGATTATATATTTTTTAATCACCTTTACTGCATGTAAAGCATTCTGCTTTTGTAATGTTCAAAGCAGGAGTACCCTAAATATTGAAAAAAGATGTACTCTAAAAGTAAATCTTTTCTCTCTTGAAGAGAGAAAAGGTATCAATTCATTTCTCCTAAAATATGTACCTTCACTTAATTTTATTTCCTACATAGAAAGGTGCCAGGAATTTCACAATATGTCCCTTATCAATATGGCTCAATTCCTTCTTTTAGGAATTAACATGATGCTGTTTTATTTTTGATTTGATCAATTTTAACTGTATTTTCTTAACCTATTATGCTCGTTTTATTTGCTTTCCTGAGTTTTATGTTAGCTGACCCCTGCTGAAGTTCTTGTTTTCTCTAAGATCAACTTTCTGGAATCTATGGTAAACAATGGGAACATACAGTTTGTCTGAATCAAATCTAGAGCAAGTTTTAAAACCTCATTCTATCAACAATGATGTGCTTCTTTCTACCAGGCTTTTTGATGCGACCATGTTCACACTAAAACTTGAATGGCATTAGATGGAAGTATGTGGGGGAACTTTGGTTTCAGAAAGCTGAGGAAGAGGAGGTACCACTAGTCAGAAAAATCAGATGACAACAGCTACTGGATCATCTATGGCAGAAAGGAGTCCTGGCAGGTGAGGTCAAAGTCTGGAATTTCATGCATCAGGACTCTAGGCTAGAAACACACGGTCTGGTTTGTGTGTTGTTCATTCATTCAACAAGTATGTTTTGGGTATTTTCTTTGTGCTGAGTGCTTTCCTAGGTTCTTTGGATACAACTGTGAATAGGATATAGTTCTTGGTCTGAATCGCTGACAGCTTGAATATAGGACATGGGTATGTAGGGGTCTAGTCCTAGATTTATCTTTATAGTATATGGTAAGACCCAGAAGAAATACGGAATCTTAATAGATGTTTTGGGCTTTTTGTTACACTACATTATGTTTGTGCTAGAACATGTAGCTATAATTTATTCATCTTCTCTTCTGCAGTCTCCATTATGTGAATCCTCTGCACTTGATCCAATCTTCTGTGAGTGGGTCTGAACTGTTTCCAGGTTTGGACTATTATACATTGTGTTGAAAAGTCCATTCTTGTCAATGTTTCCTAGTACACACGTTCATAGGGTGTTTAAAGTTTCTTAGTTACACATTCACAGGAATGTGGAATGAAATCTATAAAGCATAGAATATATACATCTATGATTTTACCAGGTAATGCAAAATTGCATTCCAAAGTTGATGTTCAAGAGCAATGAATGAGAGTTCCCATTTTCCCATATTCTGTCTACTACTTGCTATTCTCACTTTTAAATTTTTGTCAGTGAGGTAGATATGAAGTGGTGTCTCATTATGCTTAATGTTAGAGTTATAAATATTCTGTTATGAACTTGGTCCCTAAATCTATTGTTTGTGGCTATAGATTCTCACTTATAGTTTTTTGTCCTGTGTCCAGAGTCAAGGCTCACAAAGTCAAGTTTGGTTTGATTACTTTGCTTTCTGGTTATTTTTTCACTTAGTCTTTAAATTGATTTTTCACCTGTGTGGGTCTTAGACTTGTCTCTTTTCCCCAGAGCAAAAGTAGGATGTAGTAGATGCCCCAGATTAGCTGTTAGTGCCATGTATCAGTCAGAATTCAACCAGAGAAGCACAACCAGTAGGAAATATGTATTAAGAGGTTAATTGCAAAAAATTGGGTCATGCAACAGTGGAGGCTGGCTAGGTAAGTGTGAAATCCATGGACAGGCCATCTGAAGGAGCAGACTAGAACTCTCAGGCATAGGCTGTTCACAGGCAGAATTTCTTCTTTTGAAAAAGCCTCAACTTGGCTTTCAACTCAGATATGCCTTTCAACTGCTTGAATTAGGCCTACCAGATTATAGAGAGTAATCTTATTTAGATATATGCCCACACATATATAGGAGCTCTCACATAGAGAAGGAGCTCCCAAAAATTGGTTAGGCAAGAGTAAAATCCATGGGCAGGCCTTCTGAAAGGGCAAGCTAGAACTCTTAGGCACAGATTATATATATAATCTGCAGTCTGCTTTAAGAGCTGGTGGGAATATTGGTGAAGTGCTTCAAGCTTTCACTAATGAGAGGGATGAGAAGACTCATGGTTTTGCTTGCTTCATAAAATTTAAGACCAAGACTTTAGAAACTTAGAGTGCCGGAGGACGTAGCACAGTTGCTCCATAGTTCTGAGATACTCAATTATCCGGTTAAGAGCCTGTTTTCATTAACTGGACCTCACAATGATAATTCTTTCTTTATGTTTCCTCAGCACTGGACAGTCAGTTGCCATGTTCCTCCATTACTTCAGGTACCTGGGTCTCCATGCCGCAATTGGGAAACAGCTCCCTAGGACAATGGCATCTGCTTGTTTGTTTTCTCTAGAATGCCCTGTTCTAAGCATGTGTTCTTAGAGTGGCCAGGGCTGCACTGAGGTGCAGAATTGAACATGGAGGGGCTGAGAGCACTGGGGGAGGCATTCTAGACTGGGAGGGGGCCTTGGGATGAATATAGACAAAGGATCAGTTTTACCTGACAGTTGGGTCTCTTATAGGGCAGAAAATTCTAATTCTAAAGAAGTGTCACTTGATATGTTTGCTACCTAAGCTCTACGGCACTTATTGCAACTCTGTAGAGAAATGACTAAGTGGTTCCGAACTTTGTCCTTTGTCATTCCTGTGCGGCCACCTGCCTTGGATGGAGGTAGGA